GTTTTTTTTCATTCTTTTTTTTTTCTCCAGAGGAGAAACAACAGTAGCACCTGTTGTGCCAACGACCGAGGCCATCGAGCCACCAACCGAGCCACCAACCGAGCCACCCACCACAGTCCCTGAACCTACCACCACAGAGCCGGAAACAACTACCAAGCAAGGGTGTTAATGAGACAGGATGATGATGATGCAGTGTGGAATGTTCCATGAGGTTAGGATAAAAGATTGTTATTCATTCATTTATTTTTTAAATTAAAAAAAAAGAATATTATTATATCGATATATGGATATAATATTTTGATGGAAAGAGAGGCAAACATTAACAACATCATCATCATCATCATCATTATACTTATCATCAACAACAACAACTACAATAAAATGAAATAGTCTGTAAAATAACTGCAGATTACCACCCTGCAGATAAATGCATGTTTATCCTTAAGAAGACTTTGACTATGTTCTCTTTTTCTATTAAAAAAAAATCCTTTGTATTTTTTTTACCACAGGATTTTTCAGCTTTTCGTCGAGCTCAGAGGAAATATTGGAATGTATTCAGTCCGCTGATGTCCACAGCCGTTGTCATGACAACCCCATATCTCATAACAACTTCATTTCATTACCAATGTCATTGAGAGTCATCACAGCATCTAGAGAAATAAATATATTGTACAGTAAACAGTGTGTGAAGAATTGGGTCTGCATGTTTGATTGCTATCTATCTATTTGCCTGTCTGTCTGTCTGTCTGTCTGTCTGTCTGTCTGTCTGTCTGTCTGTCTGTCTGTCTATCTATCTATCTATATATCTATCTTCTACCTACCTATCTATCTATCTGTCTGTCTATTTGTCTGCATGTTTGTCTGTCTGTCTGTCTGTCTGTCTGTCCCCCTCCGTCCGTCTGTATGTCCGTCCGTCCGTCTTTCTGCCCGTCTGTCTGTCTGTCTGTCTGTATGTATGTTTGTCCGTCTGTCTATCTATCTATCTTTCTATCTTCGTGAGGGTGTGGAGTTAGTAAGAAGCCCCAACCCGTATCAACCACTCTTACACCTGCACCTTTCCCCGTGGTTGTGGAATGACAAGTTGTTTGTGCTGCTTTTCCCACAATTTACATGTATCAATTTTAAGCGTGGGTAGTTGGCGGGTGCTCTGGTGTGGTTTGCTTTTTCTTATCTCCCCTTCTTCTTTTTTATGTTTGTTACTCTCTTGTAACACCTCTAATCTTCTGGCGCTCATATGACCTTACGCATTTGCGAGCACCGTAAAACCTCTACTAAAACTAAAACATACATTTTAAGCTTCTTTTTGTTATACGGTAGTTTCTTATTACACGTATTTCGGTGTGGATGAAGAGACTTGTACCAGGGGACATAATGCACGATTCTTGTGACGTCTAAGTTATATAAGTATGGTTATGTCCCATGGATAGTTAAAATCGCCAACTTTTCAACGGCAGCTTGAATAAAGAGGATTCAGGTTCTCTTGCAGTGAAGTCTGTGACAATGACCCAGGACCAGATGGAGAGACAGTGTCACCAGCGAGAAAGTCTTAAGGTGAACAAAATAGAGCGCAGTCGAAGATGAAAAGGGAACAAGGCGGTGGGGAATGATTGGATATGGATCAGGAAACCAGTCAGCTGCATAACAGAGAAACACACACACACAGACACACACACACACACACACACACACACACACACACACACACACACACACACACACACACTCACAGAGGCGTGCCCCTCCTACTCCTACCCCCCCCCACCAACCCAGTAACTGTGAACCATCGACAGTTTGTTTTCCCCACAGTCAGGGCCCCACCAACGTCACCGAGAGTTATTGCACCTAGTGCCAAGTCCAGAATGGATTGACTCTAAGTCTTAGCCCTACGGTGACCAATTATACACTGACCCCAATCATTTCCAGAAACACAGTGCGTCATGCAGTATGCGCATAATAATTGTGCGCGCATCACCATGCCACGCCAGCTTGAAGTCCCGGCATGCCCTAGCAGTGCGGAAGTAGTTCTTTCGGGAAGTACTGGGGATAAAGTTCGATAACTCATCACAATAAAAAAGACAATGACGGTCTCGGAACGCTCAAGAAAGACTGACCTTTAGAATTGGGTTGAATTTAACTACTACCCCCTCCTCCCACCCCTTTTATTCCC